AATGTCCATTTTGTATCTGTGTATTCAAAGTGGTTGGGATAGATATATAGTTGCATTCTCTTAATGAATAGAATGATTTGTTCTAATGGTGTTTGTCAATAAGATCTGAAGTCCGCATCTTGTACAGCAATTAACCACTAAGAAGAATATATGCCGTGTATTATTTGCTGAAACTGTACTTCCGATTTGTTTTGAAACTGTCTCATTGCTATCTGTTTATCAATAAAACTTTGAAAAAAAGTAATACCCTAAATGTTTAAGAGAACAGATTTTTCTCTTCATTGAACTTTTCAGAAAAGTTTGTTTTGTCCTTCAGTGAATATTTTGTGAAGGTTTCGTGATCTACTTCCTCTTTAGTCTTTCTCCATAGTTTTATGATAGTTACCAGTCACTTGTCATCTAGCTTATAACCCCCTTTATTACTTTTTTAAGTTAGCATTTTCATGGGAAGTTGGAAAGTTACTTGTAAGCATCCATTTTTTTCCTGTATCCTTTTCAAATGTGAGCACTGAAGGGAAATTCTGTTTCTTTTACATAACTGTTTTAGTGTCTTGATTTTTTGCTATCTCCCAAGAATCTCTTTGTAGATGACCATGAAGTAATGCATAATTCTTGGTATTTTCTTCCAGTGCAGCCACAGTCCTGTCACCATGCCTAACTATGTGATGACGTTAAAAAGTTACTGTGTGGTTAAAATATGACTTCAGAGGAAATTTTCCTCAGAGCAACTTTCATACTTAACACTGACTAAATTTGCTAATTCCTTCTTTGTCATTTTTTAAAATAGCCTTCAGATCAAGATAACAGTAATAATATATTTTTCTTGATTTATTTCATAAAGATTTGAGATACTGATAAAAACCATAATATCAGACCAAAACTTAAAACGCATATATAATCACTGTCTTGTAATATTTTATTCTAAGTTTTTACCTTTTCTGAATAAACAGTAAATTATGTGGTTAAAAAATCAAACTTCAATCTTAGCAAATTGAGGGTTAGATTTTTATGAGAAGAATGTGGGAAATGTCACAGTCCTCTGGTTTATGTTTGGTTTTATGCAAGATTTGAAAATAATAATGAGCTAAGTCTTTTACAAAAGGATCTCTATCCTCCTGCAGGCTTACATCCAAAAACTACCAGCATTTTCTGGCCTTCATTTTTGCAATAGAAGAGATCAACAAAAATCCTCATCTTTTACCCAACATGTCTCTGGGATTTGAGTTTCATAATTTCGTTTACAGTCACTGGAGGATGCTGGAGAATTCCCTCGTTTTGCTCACAGGACAAGAAGAGATCCCCAATTATTCTTGTAGGAGAAACAGCAAGGCAATTGCAGTGTTAATGGGAGCATCATGGGCATCTGCTACTCAAATTGGAAGCCTGCTGGGGCTCTACAAATTTCCCCAGGTGAGAGCAGTGGGACAAGGAAAGGTAAAAGCCTGTCTTTGTGTGTGCTATTTTATGTACATCAAAGAAGTAAAAGAGAGATTAGGTTTATGCTTCTTTAAGGGGCATAGTTTCAAACAGGTACACAGAATCTTGATGTGTTGTTTCCTTTTCTGCACAAGGACAAGAAAAAAATACAGTGAAGTTTCCTTAAAAACTTCACTATATCTAAAAGTTCACCATTAGGTTTTTATCTAATTAGTTGTTTTCTAAAATGGTGTTAGGAAGAAAAATGGTGAAAAAAGAAGTATCTTGTACAATCTCTAGCTGTTAGTATACTTTTGTTATGATAGTGCAATTTTTTTGTGATACCAGGATTTGAACTCAGGACCTGAACTCTCCTGCCAGATGTTTATTCTACTGAAATATCTCCCCAGTCCCTGACACTGTACTTTTACCAACACCTTTCTATATATTGCCTCCAATTCTCTTCATTTTAGGTTTCCTTTGGCTCATTTGATCCAATGCTGAGTGACAGTGTCCAGTTTCCTTCTCTCTATCAAGTAACCCCAAAGGATGCATCTCTGACCATTGGCATGGTCTCCTTGATGCTTCACTTCAACTGGAGCTGGGTAGGGCTGATCATCACAGAAGGGCATAAAGGTCTTCAATTTCTCTCAGACGTGAGAGCAGAGATGGACAGAAAGAGTATCTGTGCAGCATTTGTAAAAATTATTCCAAATCCTCTTGTGTCATATACCTCAAATCTACTGCGTCTTGAGATCCTGACAAGGGAAACATCAAATGTGATTATTATTTATTATGATGGTGGTGATCTAAGTCAAGTAAACTATAACATAGGGCAACATGTAGTGACATGGAAAGTCTGGGTGACAAATTCACAATGGCAGGCTGATGCTTCTGGGACCAATTTCATAATTGACTCATTCCATGGAACGCTCATATTTTCAAATCATCATGAAGAGATTTCTGGTTTTAAAAATTTTGTCCAGGCAGTGAACCCTTTCAAGTACCCAGAAGACTCTTACCTCACTATGTATTGGTACAAAAATTTCCACTGTTCATTCTCTGATTTTGATTTTGCATTGAAGAACTGTACACCTAATGCCTCTCTGGCATGGCTGCCTATGAGTCGTTTTGACCCAGCCATGAGTGATGCGAGTTACAATATATACAATGCTGTATATGCAGTGGCTCATGCCCTCCATGAGATGCTTTTTCAACATGCACAAACACCACTAGTGGAAAGTAAAAGAGTGATGGAGTTTTCTGCCTGGCAGGTAATGTGTATCCATTGGATAGCATGCACTATCATTAGGATGTCTAAGATTTCCAATTCACAGATTATACAAAGCTATAATTCTTTTCCCAACTGTGTAAGAGATTATGTACCAGGGTAACTGTTAAAGAGGTAAATCTTCAACTAGATACAATTAGCAACCCAGAAGTCACTCTCAAGTTGGAAACATATAGAAGGCAAGAATATTACTTTGGTTGAAGAGAAGTCAGTGACCTCCCTGTTTTTTGAACCAAAATGACTGGATTTATTATATTGTTTCTCATTTAATTTTGCAAATTTATTTTGTACAGAGAATCTCATTTTGCAGACTGATGCTATGTGAATAAGGAGAGAATAAGCACTGAAAGCTTAGGTACCGAGTTGATTTTTGTGTAACACACCTTTTTACTAGCCTCAAATGAAATATATTCTATGAAAAGTGACATTTTAGGAACAGTATGTTAACTTAGGCTTTCATAGTTGTTTATTTTTTCTGTTTCATTAGATGTCGGTGCTAATGTTGTATTATGGACATGAAATAAAGACAATTAAATACTTTTGTACATTTATGTTTTCTGTCTTCATCAAGGAGCTCTATTCATTATAGGATGATGTGTTTCTTTTAGCTCTACCCCTTTCTGAAGAATATCCAGTTCAATAATCTTGCTGGAGACCAGGTGACCTTGAATGAGGAAATGAAGTTACAGGAAGACTATGACATTCTTTATTATTGGAATTTTCCTGAAGGCCTTAGACTTAAGGTCAATGTAGGAATGTTTTCACCACATGCTCCACTTGGTATGCAGCTGTCTTTATCTGCTGACATCATAAGGTAGGCCATTGATATTACACAGTTATGTTGGACCTAAAGACAATACAAATTGCTGCCCATGAATAACAACATTATTGTATGTATTTTGTGTCCCACTTTGGATCATGAAATGGCCACATATTGCAGCTTGTTTTGTAATTGGATGGATTCATTTAAAATTTTTCTGATAAGTGGAATTTATCAGTATATCTTTGTATATATTTAAATATTTCATATAGTAAAACCAATGTGGCACTCAGTTCTATAATCTTATGTGTGTATGTACACAAGTTAATGGTATTTCTCTAGTTTGAAGGTAAAGTCAAACTTTAAGGAGTTACTGCATGTATATTTTTTCTTTTAGATTCCCCACTCTATATGCAGTGAGAGTTGCAATCCTGCATTCAGGAAATCTCCTCAAGAGGGAAAGGCTGCCTGTTGTTTTGATTGCAACCCCTGTCTGGAGAATGAGATTGCCAATGAGACAGGTAACAGCCTGCCTATGGACAAATTCTTCATTTCTGTTTTATATTTACACATTCATCCTGAAAATAGAAAAAAAATGCCATGTGAAAATCACCAGTGTTAAAAACAGCTTTCTTTCTTTTTAAAAATAATTTTATTGAGAAACAAATAGCAATGAGACACTTTCAAAACAGATTCGTAGGACAGTTTCAATATATAATACGTTGCATACTGTTGTTTTCTTAGTGATTAATCATAGTACAAGTTACAGACATGATATCTTGTCCACAAACACTATTAGAACAAATCTTTCTCTTCAATGAATTAAGAGAAAGTAGCTGTATATCTATCCTATTTTGAAAATACAGGTACAAAATGGTCGTTCATTTTTATCCCTTTTTTTTCTTTAGTTTTGACAGAGAAGGGCATTCCACTGTCATTTAAATATTGTAGGTGGGTGAATTCATCAAAATATTCCAATATAGTCTAGTAGTTCATAATAGTAGTGGGTCTTCACAGGACTGACAATGTCAGAAGTTGTTGACTTGAGCCTTTTACAGCTCAGCCTATTAATATGGCTTTACTTTTTATACTTCGTTTTTATACTTTTCTGCTGGATGGTTAAGACAAAGATAAAGGAAGACCTATATAACAAGAAATGTAACTTTTGTATCTGATAAGGTCAGTCAAATCCCCTCAGGATTTATCTTGAAACCATGTAGAGGACCTTGTAGATCTTTTGTCAGTGTATGCCATCCGGAAGAGTCATGGCCATTGTTTGACCAATTTCCTCACTGTGAAAGCCTGAGGGAATGTTTTCTCTCTAGGTGACTCTCATTAGGCACACTATACATCATCAGTCACTATCCTCTATGGCCCCATAATATCCTTGATCAGAAATCTTGGCACAGCACTGCATTACAGGATGTCACAGCACAGCTTTTCTTATGTCTTAAGCCTTCACTGACCTTGAAGGACTATGGCCAAAATTTTGGCTTTCCTTGTAGCTACTCTGTTTCTATAATTTTTGCCTGCAAATTTTAGTTGTTAAACATCAAGAAGAGAAGATTTATGATATTATTATTATCCTGTAACAGAGGCAATTGAGCTTAACATCACTACCTTTCTGAATATCAAACGCCTTAGACATAACATGGAACTGCTATTTTCCAACAACCAAGGATATTCTAAAAAATAAATTCCAATACAATGTGAAGAAAAACAATTACACATTTTTACACAGAAACTTAGAAATAAAATCATATACACCATTTTAGCAGCAGAATCCTATGACTTTTTTTTGCTTGTCTCTTGTTTTCTTTTATTACATTAGTTTTTTTCAAACATTTACTATAATTGCTATGACATTAGAAACACTTAACCATCTTGTTATATGAATGAATAATTTTGACCTTGTCATGTTTCCATTTTTTTTTTTAAATTTTTTAGGAAAGGGTCTAAAGGGTATACAGGGTCTCACTACTAGATCAGACTCCTAGTGATCCACCTGTTTAAATCCTCCCAAAAGCTGGGATTACAGGCGTGCCCCACTCAGCCCAGTCTCAGCTACTGTCACAGCATGCCCAGGGGGTGGGGCCAACACAGCGGGCCTAGGGATCAAACCACTGGCCCTGAGCCTACTTGCAGGCACGTTAATCTGCTGAGCTATTTGGTCAGTCCTGCCCCTGCCATATTTCCTATTTTTTCTCCTCTGTCTTTTTGTTGTTTAATTCTTAAGCACTCGCTTTCCCTTTAGCTGTCTTATACCGTTCAATTTTTATTTCTTCTTTTGCGTTCTTATACTACAGAGACAACACGATGTGTGCACATGTGGGACTGGTTTATTTCACTTATGAGTATATCTTCAAGTTGCATCCACTTATACATGAAGCCTTCATATTTATC